TTGAATATATTTTTCATTCCTTCCATTCTATATATATATATAATGATATAATGCAAATAAAATTCATCCCTATCGTATCAATTTCTCACAGTAAATGTCATAAACTTAACTTGCTTATTTTAACGTGCCTATTTTAAGAAGTAGCTAGCTTACTCTAACACAAACCTGATCAATTCTGATTTAAAGGTAATATAATAAATCAAATAATTGTTAACACCAAAGAGAGTCAAGTGATCTGCCCTTGTTTTCACTACATATTTTCACTAAAGATAAGCAAATCAGCAGGGTAAAGCCATTACTAATTAAGAAAGCCTCATACTTCAAGAAAATAAACAGGCAATTAAATAGTAATCATACAGAATAAATAGCAATTACACAAATTACCTTGGACATTTGCCACTGATGTGTTTTTAGTTAGCCCCCATAATGTACAGCACAGTACCGCTTCAGCTTTTGGTCTCAGAACTGATTTATTCTCTTAAATATCACTGAGGTTATCAAACAACTTTTATTCATATGAGTTATAGTAATGACATTTATGTATTAAAAAATCAAAACTTAGAAATTAGTAAAGCACAAAAATCCTTAAGTACACATTTCATTAGTCATCAAACATAACTTCATCACATCCTGAAGCCTAACAAAAGTCTACCATACACTTGTGAGAAATGGGAGCGAAAAAGGCTAATAACATCTCACTACTATGAAAAAAGTTCTGACCTCACAGAACTCCTAAAGTACTCCAGGGAACTGCCACAGGCCCCCAGACTACACTTTGAGAACCAAAGGTATAGCACAAAGAATTTTAAAAACAAAGTAAAATAATGTTTAAATATAGTATGAAACTTGTTTTTTAATTAAGATTTTCTTTAAAACCGGAGAAAAAGTCAAGGTATAATTATTTATTTATTACACAAATATATTCCTTTTTTACAGGTAGAAAGACAAAGGGGAGATTTCAATGCCTTTAGGATATATAGGTAACATAAATGAGTGGAGTGAGCCTATAGAAGACAGACTACGGAAGGACATATAGTAAAAAAAAAATAGATCCTGTTCCCCTTCTCAAGAAAGCAACGATTATTCAGCTCCAGCCATGTGAAATGTGTGGGCTCAGTGTTGACAGATACTTTTGACTTTTTAAGAAAAGCCAGAATTTTTATGAAAAAAAACCACCTAATTTTCTAGTTGGGAAAAATAATTTAACATTTCATAAATATCATGTGAGCCAAATAAAGTGTGTCAGGGGGCCATTATTTTTTATCTCGGTATTATGACATTGGAACTTAAATTAGAAAAGAAAAAAATTATTTAAGGTTAATCACATATTTAAAGTAAGGGGCTACCTGAATTTTTTTTAATCTGTTATGGTGGCTTTTAGACTGGAAATAGTTTCTGTTTAGCTAATTTTTTTTAAATGTGCCACACTAAATGAAGAAGAATTTATCCTGATTTGCAGATTCTAAGGTTAACATTTCAAAAGAAAATGAACATGGACATTATTAATCCTGTTTCCCTGAACTTAAGAACAACACTTTTAAAAAAAGTCAGATACAAGTTGTTTAATCAGAATTGGTACATATATACATTATATATGTATATTATTTTATGTTTTTGAAATGTCTGAATTTTATAGTCACACTATCAAAAGAAAATACATTCTCAGAATAGGTTGATCACTTTAAAAATTAACTTACCAGAGCCTATAATGTTGATATTACCATATGACAACTTCATGATTCAACGTAAAGAACAACTGAAATCTTTCTGGTAACTTCTTGAAAGTATTTACATCACAAATTGTAAGAGACAATGACAAAATGAGACAGTCAAAAGCGTTAAAACAGACTAGTAAAGAGCTCACAGAGAAGAATTATGCCCTTGGAACAACAGACAGAATCACACATTTAGAAAAATAATTATTAACTGAGAAGCTATAGTAGGAATACAAATAAAGAAAAAGAATAAATTTGAAATTCATGACCTCAGACCAAAAATATACTTGTATTTAGTTGTATATTCTAATATCAGGCTATTCTCTAGGAAAGTGAGCAACTAATTCCCGTTTAGGTTGTCCTACAAAAAGTACTAAGGATGCAAAACAATAAAAGAGTTGGGGGATAATCATTTGAAGTTTAAAAATTTCAGTAGTATATAACTATATCTTCAGTGAATTCTAAGAATTCATGGCATAGTAGTTAAGTGGCTGGATTCTGAAGTCAAACTTCATATAGACATGCCATGCATTGTCAATCACTCACTACACATCAGGGTGTCCAGTCTTTTGGCTCCGCTGGGCCACACTAGAAGGAGGAGAATGGTCTCGAGATACATGTAAAATAAACTAATGAGCTTAAAAAATAAGCAAAATTTTTAAAATGCTTTATGAAAGTTTATGAATTTTTTTGGTCATATTCAAAGCTGTCCTGTGCCACATGCATCCTGTAGGCCACAGGTTAGACAAGCTTGCTATACATGATCTTTCTCCAGTTACACAGCACTCTGTGCCTCACTTTTCTCCAATGTAAAGTAGTGATAATAGCAGTACCCACCTTGAGAAATGTTGATAGGATGAATGGAGATTATATAAATACATATATGTGTATATATGTATGCATATATGTATAGAGAGAGAGAGAGAGAGAGCTGAGAATAGAGTCTAACACATAGAAAGCCTAGCTATCACTATATTCATTGTTGTAAGGTAAGATGGAAAAAATGCTGAGACACTGATGCAGAAATTTGACCATAGTGAATGGAGATAAAGCATTAAGCAAAATGGTAGGTTATTATTGGCTCTTTCTGTCTCTTCATATAAATTTACCTCCCCTCAACCAGGACCTTCCCAAGTCTGGTCACTTGTTTTAAAATGACATCCTTCTACACTTCTGTCTTAAAGAGTAATTCCTTAAGAAAAAAAAAATTTTGTTTTTGATAGAGTCTCACTCCGTCACCAGGCTGAAGTGCAGTGGCACGATCTTGGCTCACTGCAACTGCCGCCTCCTGGATTCCAGCAATTTCTCTGCCTCAGCCTCCCAAGTTGCTGGGACTACAGGTTCAAACCACCACACTCAGCCAATTATTTTTTGTATTTTAGTAGAGATGAGGTTTCTCCATGTTGGCCAGGATGGTCTTGATCTCCTGACCTCATGATCTGCCCGCCTCAGCCTCCAAAAGTGCTGGGATTACAGATGTGAGCCACTGAGCCCAGCCAAAATTTTTATATTTATATAGTCAACTAACTATCCAAAACTTAAGAGTGCTGCATAACAGCCCACCATCCACACCTACCTAACTGGCCCACCTATGTATTTCACATATTCTTCTTTTCTTCAATTCACTCTTAACTTCTATTTTCTATCCTATCACTTCAAGCTTACTTCATTATCACTCAATCACCAGCACAAGCTCTCCTCTCTCTTACCTCCTCTATCTCCTTTTCTCATTTTCTGTCATGGTAAATGTAAAAACTGGGTCACTACAGGAAGAGCTGTGTATTGTTACCAAAGGCAATCAGAATAACAGAAGAAACATTAAGTTAAAAGCACCATGGCAAACAACCTTAGAATATGACTCAAACAATCCAATATAAGCTGCTGCTTCCCCATTTTTATAGTTTTTCTCAGGAAAAAGATACTTACATTAATATATCCAAGCAAGAAGCCCAAATGCATAAAACCTTAATTATTGCTCAAGATTGGTATCTGACTGACAAGAGAAGGAAATGCAATTAGTCCAGGTCAGTAGAAAAAGCAGGCAAACGACAGAGTTATCAGCAACTTAACTTCCATCACTTCTAAATCGACTGTAACTACATTCCCGGTATTGATAATACCAATATAAGATTAGACAGAAGTCTCCAAATTCTTTTTACACGGGATTGCAACCATCTCCTCCAAGGAGTTGCATAACAACACTGACCACCACACCTATGTACCAAGAGAATAAGTACCAAAATACCAAAGACCAAATGGGAGAAAGTCTTAATTATGTACCGCAGATATGTAGTGTTCTACTTGTCTATTTCTATAGACATATGTGATCATATTAAATAAGGAAATTGGGGGAAAAAACAATGAAGAAAAAGGATCAAGATTTTGTACTCACACAACGGAAAATAAATATTCATAACTCGACAGAAGTAAAAGAGCAAATATTAGACATTTACGGTTTCCTGCATTTATAGTATGGTCTTTGATACATACTCTCCCACTTAAGACGTTTAAACACCTATGTTTAAGAATAAGTAAAGAAAAAACACATTCAGAAATATGCATGTATTATGAGAACTCAAGTATCCACCCTGACAGTTATGTGCTTAACCTGTTTTCATAAAGACAGCATACAGACCTCAATGAATGTTTCTCCTGTTATTCTTCTACCTTACCCAATACTTTTTTTCCCCTTACCAGCTTATTTTACGGTCAGAGGTTAAACTGCTAACCCTTCACCTTCCAGGAAAGTTTTTTTTCCTCTCTCATAAAAGGTTTTTCACAGTGTGCAGCAGTCGGATTAGCTCTTCTCTTTGAGAACAAAAGCTCTGTCTTTGTCTTCGTTGTTTGGGCATGGAGCCCCTACATCAGAGGAAGCTGCTCCTACTCAACTTGCACAATAATGATATTGTGAGGCCCCACGAAAGCCTGGCCTCTCAGTGTCTAGACTCTCATCCAACCAGCTAGCCAAAGAGAAAATCCTGTCAAGCACTCAGCTGAAAATTAACTAAGGTATCCTGTTGAGAACCTGATGAAGATGTTATTTGACCATACGGTAAAACTTTCTATTGTTGAACATAAAGATAAGAGAAAAACTTTTAGAACTCAATGCTTTAACAATCTTGGTCACCAATTCGCGCATGGGTCAGTAAATGTATTTTACCAATATACAACCCCTTCCTCTATACGTGCTCTTAAAATAATACACAGGCTTATTTATGACACTCTAAGCTCTTACATTTAAAAATCTGTGCAACTACGAGATACATTCAAAAAATTATTAGAAATTATATGTTATTTGCAGTTTTTACATTGAAGATTTATCATTAGAAATTCTGCTACTGCATTTGTCACTGAAGTACCCAATCAAAATGCAGAAGTCAAAATAAAACTGTCATCTTTTCATATTCCTGAATAAGCTTTAAAATATTAAGCAAGAGAGAAATAGTAAACTAAAAAGTCAATAATTGATTAAAGCTTAGAAATGAAAACAAGAGTACATAAACCAAACCATTCTTATAAAAACTGTTTGTAAATTTTTTAACCTGTAAAAAGTTAAATACATTAGATAAATTTAAATTTGGTCATATGATAGCAATAAAAGATGATTCTCTCATGTACATTAAGTTATGGGTGAGTTCATAAATATTTACAAGAGGTTTTGGGGACTGTTGCAGTTTTTGAAATATCATCTTATAATTTACAACAATAGCAACAACTGTTATTGAAAATTATTAAGTGAAAACTATATATGATTATAACCACATTTAATAAGCTCATATTGAAATCTAAAAAGGAATGCACAAAAATAGATGTTCTGTGTTATTGGTACGAAAAGAATAATCTTTTTCCTTCCTTCAAAATTTACTGCAATACATTAGTAATTTAAAAAATAAACTTTACAGAATAATCGGAATAGTTCAAAACCCTACAAATGGATAGCAATTAATGAAAGATAAGGGTGTCACTACTGTATATAGGATTCAGAATTAAAGAATAAATCATTTTTACATACTCGATACTATAATATAAATTAATTCCCCAAATTTTAGGAGAAACACAAATGTACTTTCTTTTTTAACCTACAACAAACTTAACAAAAGAAATACATTTATTCTTAAGGGGGAAAAAAAATCAATGCTTAACCACAGCAGATGCCTGGCATGGAGGGGTATTTTTCTACTCTTTTAATAGACACATGAAAATCTAAGCCTGGCAAACACTTAAATTGAAGACTCTGGAACACAGTGAATAAGTGACATCTGGCAGAAAATGTTAAATATTTCATTCCTACTTCTGCAGAAAAGAAAAGGACTGAAATTTAACAAAATTTAAAAGAACATTTCATATAACACTGATATGCAATTATAAAAAATAGATTTGGTTAAATCTATATGATATATGAATAACACGAAAGTTAACAGAATGGTATAAAAACCAATACTGAATAGGTCCATCGTGCCTACCATTAAGTATTTTTTATATCAATGAATTACGTAATCTGTAAAATGATTATAGAACCAAGTACATCCACCCAAATATTGGAGGCAGAATGGCTTTATTCTACTGGATGCTCTACAAAACACCTCTGCTTCAAGTAGTTTTATTTCCTCAGAATGCTACTCAGCTTCACAGAAAGGGTATAAAATATCTTGGCTTTTGGCAATTAAACTAAATAAAATTTAAAAGTCCAAGACCTGAGAGTATTCACTGTTAAATTACTTTGAAGCTACTTCTCTTGGGTTCTCTGGCACTTTCCTTTGTTAGAAGAAGTGATCTAAATTTTGCTTAAGTTTATGTTCACTTTAATGTGAACTATGAAACATTCCATTTACAAAGCATTCTTAGGCTTTCGTGAATTTTAAAGGGTATTATTCGAAAATATAGGCTGGGGCCATCTTTTCTCCTCCCGTGGAGCCGCCGCCATGAAGATCGAGCTGTGCGGTTTCAGTGGGTACAAGATTCCTGGACACGGAGGTGCTACGCCAGGACCGAAGGAAAGGTTTTCCAGTTTCTTAATGCAAAATGCAAGTCAGCCTTCCTTTCCAAGAGGAATCCTCAGCAGATAAACCGGACTGTCTTCTATGGAAGGAAGCATAAAATGGGACAGTCGGAAGAAGTTCAAAAGAAAAGAACCCGCGGAGCAGTCAAATTCCAGAGGGCCATTACTGGTGCATCTCTTGCTAATATCATGGCCAAAAGAAATCAGAAACCTGAAGTTAGTAAGGCACAAGAAGAACAAGCTATCAGGGCTTCTAAGGAAGCAAAAAAGGATAAGCAGGTATCTAAAAAGACTGCAATGGCTGCTGCTAAGGCACTTCCAAAGACAGCAGCTAAGCAAATGATTGTGAAGCCTGTGCAAGTTTCGGCTCCCGAGTTGGTGGAAAACGCTAAACTGGCAGATTAGATTTTTAAATAAAGATCGGACTATTTTAAAAAGAAGAAGAAAAAAGTATAGATTGGAATACTGCCAAACAACTCACTCTTTTGATTTCAAGCTCAATTTTAAGCTGCAGATTAAAACTTTTGTTGAATTTGAATAGCAAACGTTTTGAGTCAGCGAGAACATAAGATCTACTCATTTAGAGATTTAATATTCAATGATTTGCCCAAACTATCTATCTATCTATCTATCTATCTATCTGAGACAGGATCTTGCTTTCTTGCACAGGCTGGAGTACAGAGGCAAAACCATAGCTTACGGCAGCCTCAGTTGAGGCTGCCTCAGCCTCCCAAATTTATCACAGCTAAGACCACAGGTGTATGCCACCACACCCAGCTAATTAAAATAACAATAATAATTTGTACAGACAGGGTCTCACTATATTGTCCAGACTGGTCTTGAACTCCTGGCCTGAAGCACTCTTCACACCTTGGCATCACAAAGCACTAGGATTAATTATGAGCCACCATGTCCAGCTTCTTACATTTTAAATTAAAATGATAAATTCTATGTATATCACAAAAATCATCCCTGAGATAATCTGTGATAAATTTGTTACTGTAACCTTTCTTTACAAATGCCTATACTCTATTCCTGTTCTACTGGAAAGGCTATTCATTAGCTCCAAGGCTCTACTGATCTTCCTTGCCTTTCAGTTAGGACTGCTATCCATATTTCTGTTATACCACTCATTCTGAAAACAGCTTCCTCTTTATTTGTGACTGCTGAGGACACACCCAGCATCTATTCTTTCGAATGTCTTTGTGAGACTACTTCATAAAGGAGATTTCTCAATGCTAGCATTCATGCAAGGCATCAAAAATCTGTTGCTATTGCTCTTGAAAATCACCCAAGACTGCCTAATTGCACATAAAGAGGCCTATTCTGAGTCTAAATCATCCTTCATCTTTTTTGTCATATGATAATATCATCCACCATAAGCCTTCATCCACTCCTAACTCTATCCTAGTTCTTCCAATTGCACACATAGGGTATATCAGAGACACTGCTCCTTTCCTACCATCAATTATAAGACAGCACACCAATAAACCTGACTGCAATACCTCCAACGGAATAGTGGGAAAGTCTTCCGCCCCATGAATCCAAGCACCACCATAGCCCTATTCCTCTGGACAATGGCTTCAAACTTTCAGATGCGTAACAATCACCTGGGAAACTTTTCCCAACATGTAGATTACACTCTTATTTCCATCCTTAAAATAATCAAAGTATGTCCCAGGAACCTGATTTCTCAATAAATCATCTATGGCTCTAAAACACATACTGATAAACAGTACATAGCAGCTCTTTTTAAACACTCGTGGACATCCATCTAGCAACATTAAACACTCCATCTTGGAGGTATGACAAGACTCCACAGGATCCTGAAAACAAGGAGATTTTTGCACTCTATAGACTTGTTTTACTAAGTATTATAGGAAGCTCTCCTACTTAATCCTTACAGCGAAAATGCAGCAATGATCCTTATTTATTTTGGGGCCTTTTCTTAGGTAAACAAGAAAAACATTCACATAGGTATCCAGAATCTAATTTACTAAAAGTAGCGGAGCCCCTAGATTCTAATTATGTAAAAACTGGTAAATTTAAAAATAAATACTTAGAATTATGCTTCAAAAAAGAAAAACAAGTAAAGCTATGGCTTCCTGTTGAGTTATAAATCTCTCTTTGGTCTCGTAGAACTGTGTTTTCCAATCACCTTGAGGAAATAAAGCATTACTTACTTCTAAGACAAAATTTCCAGTATTATTCTAAAATTGCATTAGAAAGGAGAGGGCAAGATAGATATCTTACCTGGAAAGCAGATAACCCAGCTCATTTTCTTCCAGCAATTTTTGATTACGTCCTAATGTCCTATAATTTATTTTCCCTATTTACTTTCCCCTTCAACTGTATTTATACAGGTTTCTCTGACACCTGTTTATTACATTTCTTCTCCTCTCTGCACTGATCCAGTATGAATTAGCATGCATGAGTACCCTCTATTATATAACAGGACAAAAGGGAGTGTCTAATATTATAATTGGAGAAGAAGCTTTCATGGCAAACTATTTAGAAATAATGCTGAATTTTGAATTTAAGGTGCTATTTTTCTCATTTAAACCTAGAAATATTTTCCTTTCAAAGCCAAAAAATAACATTAAATCCACATAGAGAATGATGGCCAAGTCACAACAATTCCCTCTTTTCTGGGAGCTATATCCTATCCTCAGGGTGAGTTTTTAGTAGGTACATCCACAATTGGTGAATGTGACCTCAGGCTAGAGCTGAATAAGTCAAACTCACAACCTAATCTGGGCCAGTTTCTAATTCATAGAAGACTTGGGTTACAAACTAGGAAACACAACATGGAAGATGCTGACACAGAATCACTTTTTGGCAGAAAGATGACAGAAGAACCTCAGAACTTCCATGGTAACTATATTCACAAAAATTACTTACCCATGTACTTAATTACCATAGCTTTTCCTCTAACCATAGATATAGAATGTTAAAGCAGCACTTTTACATCCATAAAAAAGACATCAGCTTCCAGCCAAGAGAAAGTACAAACTGTATTTGCTCTCTCCCCCTTTAAAACTAAAAATCTAAAAAAATACATTAAACAATTTTCAGACATCAGCAAACGCAGGACACTGATCCCTGACAGAGATAAAACAAATAAGATAAGCCTTACAATTGGTCTTATCATCTGGAGTTTCCAGCACGTGGCATGAGGTGGGAGAAACCCAGGCAGTGCCCGGTGGTCTCCCTGAGATGAGGTTGGAAGCCCAAACCATCTGGAGTCCACAAAGAGAACAGGAGAAGCAGCTTCACAGGAATAGGGCTCTGGAGAGCTGCAGAAGTTTCACCACCAACCCCCACCAAGGCTTTAGTGGACTGATGATCAGTGCACACATATGAAGAAACTACCCAACATTGAGGAAAGAACCACACCTCCACTTCAAAAAAAAAATGGGGAAAAATCCCAGGATCAGCTGACGTTCACACCACCCAGAGTGGGAAAAGCTCATCATCAACAGAGTATTTGTACAGTACTCAGAGGGTAATATCTTAGCAGTGGGAAAAATGAGCACTAGACTGAAGGCGACTCTGGCTTCACCTACCAAAGCCTAAAAGCAAGCCTCAAATGTTCAAACTGTTTCCAAATAACTTAACTGTAATCTGTTAACTGTTAACTGTTTTGTTTTTGTAAAAAAACAAAAACCTTCAGTGTATAGGGGACTTTTAGCAGGAGAAACCATATGCTGTACCACAAAGCAAGTCCTAATTGATTTAAAAGGATTCAAGTCATACCACAATATTCTCTGGAATTATATTAGCAAAATATGACAGAAATATCACAGGAAAATCCCTAAATATTTGTAACCTAAATAACATACTTCTAAATAACCCAACAGTCAAAGAAGAAGTCAAAAGGAAATGAAAATCTAAATGAACTATAAATGAAAACAAAAACAAAAGTGATAAACTGATCAAAAGGAAGGACTATTCTGGGTGAAAGACAGTGTTAGTTAAAAGCATGAAAGCCGTCTCTACTAAAAATACAAAACATTAGCTGGGCATGGTGGCGCATGCCTGTAATCCCAGCTACTCAGGAGGTTGAGGCAGGAGAATTGCCTGAACCCAGGAGGCAGAGGTTGCGGTGAGCTGAGATCGCACTATTGCACTCCAGCCTGGGTAACAAGAGCAAAAATCCCCGTCAAAAAAAAAAAAAAAAAATAGCATGAAAAGACAAGATACAGATGGAGAAAAAAATGCAAATCCAACAAAGTCATTGTATCCTGGATATATTAAAATCTTTCAAAACTCAGTAATAAGAAACCAACCCAATAAAGAAAATGTAAGAGAAAGAGCTGAATAGGCATTTCACCAAAGAAGATATACAGACAGAAAACAAGTAAATGAATTCATCTTACTAAAACATAATTGAGTCTTAAAATGCTTCCACCAACTTCTAAGAAATCAGACCTTTTCTTCTAAATTAGAATATGTAATGTGCTAAGATATTCTTAATAGTTCCTTCCAGCTACCCTATAAAAATTTTTGTACCATAAAATATAATTTTAAATCAGCTAAGACAATCACGATAGCCCTGAACTTGTTTGATTTGTGGCTGGGAAGGCATACAACCTAATTATGAGTACAAAAGGAAGAAGCATGTAATTTTAATTCTGTCAAGTTGTTTACAGTGAGACTCATTGACAATGAGCAAAAACCTGAAAATGGATAAGAAATTATTGTGCAGATATATTGGGAAAGTGTATTAGAAATAAACAAAAAGTGCAAACCCTTGAAGGAGCACACATGATGTTGTTCCAGGGATAGCAAGAAGCCAGTGTAGCTGAGCAAGGGAGAAAAGTGGGAGAGGATGAGGTCAGAAATGTAAACAAGGGGATTTGAGCCAGTTAAAAGGAGCCATATAGATTCCTGGAAAGTCTTTTATTTGAATGATCTGAAAAGGCAGAGGGATGCGTAAAAAAGGAATTATGAGCAGTATATCCCTATATGGGGAAGACTGAGTCTCAGAAAGTCAAGATCTGAAAATTAAGGTTGTCAACAAATTTCTATTATTGTATCTAATTGCTACAAAATATATTGTGAGAACTATCAAAAGGAAGATGAAATCCTTGCTTCAGTGAGTTGATAATCTAGTTGAAGAACTAAACAATAACAATTAAAATGATAGAATATTTAAATTACAAGGAGCTTTCAGATAGTCTATAGCTTTTGTTTAACTGAGGAACTTGAGTCAAAAAAGGGAAAATGATTTATGCAAGATCATATAACTAGTTATTGGTTTAGGAAGAACTAAAATGCCCCTTCATTCATAAGTTCTCTTAAAGTCCAGTATATCAATGGTATAAAAGACAAGCTGAAGAAAAGACTATACTTATACAGCACTTTTGCAAGATAAATAAGCCTTTGTCACATTCACTTGCTTTCCTGACTTCC